TCCTTCGCTTGGATGTGGTCGGCTGGTCTGCAAAGTGAAACAGAAGGCTTTCTGTTTCCTGCACAGGAACAGTCACTTCCCACTCGAAACCGTCAGTGTGTGATTTTGCATCAAAATGTAAATATGAAATGTAGATTATGTAATGAATTTAATGAGACTGTCCAGCACATTGTCATTGGATGCACAGTTATGGCACAAACACAGTATATTTAGCGACATGATGGAGTGGCTCGATCATTATATTACCGTCTTCGCCATGCTTGTTGTTTTGACACAGAGGTCCATCCATGGTACGACCCAGAATATGTGGAGGGCGTCATGGAAAATGATAAATACAAAATTCTTTGGAATAGGCCCGTATACAGCCTCAGATGTATCCAGGCCAACAAATCTGATCTTGTCCTTTTTGATAAATCCAATGAAATCATTTAAATAATTGAATTTCTGTCCTTTTTTACACCAATGTCATTGACAAGATTCAGACACATGGCAAATAAGCGGACCTCGCTTTCTAAATGCCACGCCAATTGTTGAGAATCGATCCACGCAATTGGCATACGATGACAGGTATCAATTCAGTCAGTGAGCCTGACCACCCGATCCATAAGTCGCCTCTTACGCCAAGCACAGTCGCCTCTATGGCTGGCATGGGTTGCTGAAGACCTATTCTACGCCGGATTTTTCACGGGTTATCCACATACAACCAGGTGCCTCACAACTAGGCTCTACAGCTCAAATATCCCTGGTCGCGATGACTGGGGCTGACACATAACAGTGGATGTCAGAGGACTTGAAGATATATTAGGCAGAGCACATATTCCGTTAGTGTGAAAGACACTTGCCCAATTTCCAGACTCAACTTGATTTTAATCAGCAGCTAGCGACCCCAGTGCCAGTTTACGTCCCATCACGTATTGTGTAGGCCTTAATAGATTATTTCTTGAAATAGTCATGCAATTTTATAGGTTTGTATGCAAAATATCTCACTAGTTATTTCGGAGCGTGACTGCATATTGTAGGGAATGTGTGGTGCGTGCACATATAGGGGTTATCACGCGAGTGTGTTTGGAGATGGTAAATATCCTGCATTAGGGACGTTTATTCCTAATACAGGATATTTACCACCCCCAAACACACAAGCGTGATAACCCCTTTATCATCTAATGTCATCATTCTTTAACTCTGTGCTTCAAAATCGCTTTTCCCCTCTCACAAACATTACCGAAACATTGCGTTTTCCAGGAATGCGCGCATTAATATTTATTACGTCATAGGGTAAGTGATGTGTCAGTCGGACAGTGACAATAGCCAATATAGTTCCAACTGAAATCTATTTCTTATCCACTGGCAAAGCAACTATACGCAAAACAACAATTGCTTTTTATTGCCTTTCGCGACCATCCATCGGTCTGTCCTCTAGAGTAACTGCCCTTTGTCAAAGGGAAGCTACTCTAACCCTAGTCTATGAGACGTCACGGACACAGTCAGACGTTGTTGACAGTCGGTCTGTCCTGTCATAACGTTAAGAAGTGCAATCTGATGTACACACAGCGACAAAACGAAACAAGGTAACAATTCAAATATATTTCGGCCAAATCCAACTATTTTAATTTGTGGAGAAGGTTTCAAGCCGCAGAGGTCTACAAGCACAGATATGGCTACTGATCCCGCTTGGCTAGGCCTAGCGCCCTCGCAAAATTGTTTCGAAATTTATATCTCCAAACTTGCCAAAACTTATAAAATGCCTTATCTACGTCACAGTTAGACACGGATTTTCAGTATATTAGACCGTTCTCTTGATAATGATAGCAAATATCCCTGTAGTTTATCCAGATTCACGATGGTTAATTCTGACTCGATCGCCGAATGACAAGGGCGACGCCATGTTTGTTTATAAACAGTGAAAGTAGTCCCTACTTGACCTTTGATATTTGCATCTCTATCCGCATATGACCCCAACGGGTATCGTTTTTATCCGTTGGCTTTATCCTGCCGAGAAACCTACCCATTATATGATAAAGGTTTGTACGCACAATATCCCACTAGTTATTTAGGAGCATGACTGCATATTGTTGGGAATGTGTGGTACGTGCACATGTAGCTATAGACACCTTGAACTGAACACAGGCGTTTATTATCTTTCTATTTCTGTCAATCAAATCGATACTAGATCATAAATATCAATATGCTAACACGCTGTTATAGGGGCGGTCGGGTAGCCTAGTGGTTAAAGCGTTCGCTCGTCAGGCCGAAGACCCGGTTTCGATTCCCTACATGGGTACAATGTGTGATGCCTATCCGGTGTACCTCGCCGTAACATTGCTTGAATATTGATAAAGCCGGCGTAGAACCATACTCATTCACTCACATACTGTTATACCAACTGCTCACTATTCAACACGACTGCTACGTCATCACAATTGCTGTATGAACACCTACGGTTATAGTTGATATTTTTAAAGATGCACTTTCATTGCTTTTTCTCTACCCAAATTCCAAAATATACTATGTAAACAAAACTAATCTATCAATAACTGATTATCCTCGTTACACAGACAAAATATCATCGTCTCATACAAGGTACTAATTGATGTCTAAGCCAGTATGAACATACCATGGAGAATGTCCCTTTAACAAAAGCCCCAGCTCTCATCTAAGGGTTCACATTGTCAACCGCCTCTGCATGACATGTGTTTGTAAACAGCCATGACGTTAGGGGTAAACATATTGATTATACAATGAGCGTGATATTTTAGATGTCCTGGTACTAGCAGCTGAAGCTATTCCGTGAACCACTATAATTGACTGAGAGTTGAATGACAAATCTATTTATCATTCTTTTGTCAACACAACACCTTTCACAACACGACCAGTTTCTAAAAGTCAGATAATACACGACAGCTTGCAGTGTATTTGGAATGTAGGGTGCGCCAGTCATGCAGGGGTCCAGTCTGCAGAAGGTTCGAATCCCAGGATTTCAGATTTGGTTCATGCTTCTATCTTTGGTTTGTTTGTTGATTAACACCGCACTCAGCTATATTCCTGCTATATGACGGCGGTCTGTAAATAATCGTGTCTGGACCAGACAACAACAAATCAACAAAAGTACATGCACATGAGAACAGTACAAATATTAGACCGTTCTCTTGATAATGATAGCAAATATCCCTGTAGTTTATCCAGATTCACGATGGTTAATTCTGACTCGATCGCCGAATGACAAGGGCGACGCCATGTTTGTTTATAAACAGTGAAAGTAGTCCCTACTTGACCTTTGATATTTGCATCTCTATCCGCATATGACCCCAACGGGTATCGTTTTTATCCGTTGGCTTTATCCTGCCGAGAAACCTACCCATTATATGATAAAGGTTTGTACGCACAATATCCCACTAGTTATTTAGGAGCATGACTGCATATTGTTGGGAATGTGTGGTACGTGCACATGTAGCTATAGACACCTTGAACTGAACACAGGCGTTTATTATCTTTCTATTTCTGTCAATCAAATCGATACTAGATCATAAATATCAATATGCTAACACGCTGTTATAGGGGCGGTCGGGTAGCCTAGTGGTTAAAGCGTTCGCTCGTCAGGCCGAAGACCCGGTTTCGATTCCCTACATGGGTACAATGTGTGATGCCTATCCGGTGTACCTCGCCGTAACATTGCTTGAATATTGATAAAGCCGGCGTAGAACCATACTCATTCACTCACATACTGTTATACCAACTGCTCACTATTCAACACGACTGCTACGTCATCACAATTGCTGTATGAACACCTACGGTTATAGTTGATATTTTTAAAGATGCACTTTCATTGCTTTTTCTCTACCCAAATTCCAAAATATACTATGTAAACAAAACTAATCTATCAATAACTGATTATCCTCGTTACACAGACAAAATATCATCGTCTCATACAAGGTACTAATTGATGTCTAAGCCAGTATGAACATACCATGGAGAATGTCCCTTTAACAAAAGCCCCAGCTCTCATCTAAGGGTTCACATTGTCAACCGCCTCTGCATGACATGTGTTTGTAAACAGCCATGACGTTAGGGGTAAACATATTGATTATACAATGAGCGTGATATTTTAGATGTCCTGGTACTAGCAGCTGAAGCTATTCCGTGAACCACTATAATTGACTGAGAGTTGAATGACAAATCTATTTATCATTCTTTTGTCAACACAACACCTTTCACAACACGACCAGTTTCTAAAAGTCAGATAATACACGACAGCTTGCAGTGTATTTGGAATGTAGGGTGCGCCAGTCATGCAGGGGTCCAGTCTGCAGAAGGTTCGAATCCCAGGATTTCAGATTTGGTTCATGCTTCTATCTTTGGTTTGTTTGTTGATTAACACCGCACTCAGCTATATTCCTGCTATATGACGGCGGTCTGTAAATAATCGTGTCTGGACCAGACAACAACAAATCAACAAAAGTACATGCACATGAGAACAGTACAAACATGTAAGCAATCATTGGATACAGACTTGCTCACACTTGACAGTTTCATTCATTTCAGATACACTTATGTAAATGTCCAAAAACTGCCAATTGCAAGAAAGAACAAAAGCTGCTTGTCATTGAACATTTCTGATTATTTTCGTCTGAACATTTCAGTGTTTTGCAACTTTAAACGTTAACATTTCCAGCAGAATGAAAGACGCCCTCATCCTACACCTACTCACTGAGTGAGTGAGTATAGTTTTCCAGCAATATCACGACTGGGGACACCGGAAAATGAACTTTACACATTGCACCCATGTGGTGAATCAAACTTGGGCGTGACGAGCCAACGCCTTAACCCACTAAAGTCTAGTCTACCCACTGTGAGTTACATGGTTACAGGGTTTCAAAAAACGTCTCAGATCTGCCTCACGATTTAACTGAAATACTGTTCAAGGTCGCATTAAACCAAACACATGTACCCACAACACAGTTATTGAGGTATAGCTGGACCAAGTTTTGAAATGAAACAACATGAAGATGAAAAAACTTTATTTCCCTTTGTGGAAACTGACAAACATATATAAACACATATAAGAATAATTATGGCACATATTTACTTCTCATTAAATAATAAGATCTCAAAGGTCAATGTTTTAAAGTCATAAAAGAAAATTAACTGTTGATTTACCGAATACTTTTCTGTGAAAGCATCGCCAACTGAGTAGTCAAAGCATGGCACAAAAGGTTGTTTCTTTACTTGATATTACAGCAAAGATGATTCACATCAAGGTGCTAAATGAAGGAAAAATCTCTAAAATAAACGGAATTTTTTTTGTTTACATACACAAACAATTCAATAACAAATTTGTTAACCAAACAGTGGAAAGAGTAGAGTTCCTCCAAACAAAAGTAGAGTAAAAGATGTTTGCGTCTTAAAGTTACTGTGAACGATTGTAGTGATACATAAATGTTTATTACCAGTGAGTATATATGAAGGTGCAAGGATGAATTCTTACCTCATATAACAGCTGTCATGTCACCTACATGTGACCACACACAGCCTTACTAACTGCTAATTGGCATAATTGTTTTCACGGAGATAATTATGTAGCTCTAACAAAAGAGTAATAAAAAAATTTAAAAAATAAAAATATTTGTTGAAGTAAACCTGTTACCTTATCTACATATAACAATAATTATTAATCATATAAGAGGATGATGCGGTATATCCCCAGAGAAGATGTGCATGTATGCAATACTACATGAGTCTTTTGTACAAAATATAAATGGACGGGTTCAAACGTGGACAATGCTGTCAATATCGGTGGACGATGACAGGGGATATACATGATGTGTATAATGGAATGTATTGGATGATTAACTATATCTAATCTGGACAAAAGATTCACAACACTTCAGCCCTTCTCTGATTGTTCGTGTCCATTATCACATGGGTGACATGGAGAATGTTTTATTGTTGGAGAAATATAATTTGAAATGTCAAAAGATTTTTGGACCAATTAGATATTTAAATTTACAATGTCTATGATGCATTTTCATGAAACATCCCTGTCAGACATGGTTGATGATGGAAGGAATTCAGATTTGATATACATGTAATGACAACTGAGGGACCGATTTAAGTACGAATAAATATTTTGCATCAAATTTAATTTTTTGGGCAAATTCTGAAACAGGATAAAACAAGAAATACGATTAGTGAAGAATTCCTTCTCCTTTTTTAAGAAATAAACATAGAATCTAAGGCAGTCATTTTCAACACAACAACCATCAAGTTTTTATGGAGCTGAGCTTGATACAGAGTGAGTGAGTTTGGGCTGACGCCACTTTGAACAGTATTCCAGTTATATCACAGCAGGTCAGCTTGATGTGGGAGGGAAGCCTGATGTGATGCAGGCCTCAGACATTTAACACTACCTAATGTAGGAACAAGATTCAACCAGACCTTTCAGTAGTGATAGGATTAACAAAATGGAGAATGGAAAAATCACAGTTTTTGTCATATTACATTATGATATGGTTGCATAACTTGAGTGTGACGAAGGTTAAAATGTAATAGTGAAAAGATGGCAAATTGGTTAATAAGTTTAATACTAATAACAGTAAGTGTATGTTCCTAAACAACATCACAATGATAAAAAACCAATGAGTGAATATGATGAGGGTAAAACTGTAACTAGTGAAAAGATTCAGTTAATAATACTAATAACAGTAAGTGAACAATATCTCAAATAAGAAACCCACGTGCATCCATCCTTATAATATTTTAGATATTTTAGATTTTAGATATTTTGAGTAGAGACAGGCAAGTCGTTTGATGTAATATCCCCAATACAAAGATTCTTCAGACATTAATGAAGATATGAGTCAATTTTCAATGTCAACACATTAAACACAATTGAAGGAATATTGATATTCGACACAACAAATAACAATAAAATACATTTCTACTGAAACATTTCCCATACTCCCAATGAAGATATGGAAGTAAGATTCTACATACTAATAGGAACTCATTTTGGCAATTTAATAGAGTCGTTCAAAAGAACAGAACACATGTTTTCGTACAATCCTTGTTTAACAAAGTAAGTAATGTCATCATAAGATTCTGAGTTTAGGGACAGAGTTCAGGGTCCAACATCAACATAGTTAAAATATAAATGAAAATATATACATATACATGTTGCACATGATAAACTCAGTGAGACACATCTAATATAATACACTGTGAAAGACATGCAAGTTGACAAAGCACACAAACATTATTGGCACATCCGAAGAATACAAACACATGGCACTACAGAAATGATGATTATTTTATGTTGCTTTTAGCAAAAATCCAATCAAAATCCAGCACGGGACACCAAGAATCAGCTTCAAATCCATGGGAATCAAACTCGGACCCAGGCCATATGAGCATTGCTTGACCCATCATCCTACCTTACCGCCTCCACAACAGATGTAAGTGCATCAGCTGCATGTATCAATATTATTAAATATGTATGACACATGTTAAAGACTTTTTACCAGATTGGACTACATAAGGGTCACATGCAATAAAGATCGATATCATAGTTATGGCCTATTGATATTATAGTAAAAAACCCAACATAATCATAAAACTTCATATCAAGACCAGCACTTTTTAAACTACAGCTGTTGGTCTTATAAGACATTTACGTCACACACACAATGGCATACATATGCTTCACTGACATGTTTCTTGCTCCAAATTAGTTGTGGTAGTTTAGAATCTGGTCACACAAACATTTGCTATCTTCAAGCTCATCCAGTGCAACACAGAAATTACCCATATTGAAACCCCATCTCGGTTTCACACTGGACACATAATGCAATGCCTACAAACAAAATTGTTTTTTTTGTCATTCTTTTTATTGGGATGCCAGGAGGAAAGAATGGTATCTGTACTGCGACAAGACTTTTGTCATTGGATATTTTACAAAAAGAGACATTTTTTTTCATCATTTTGTCATGGATTAGAACAAAGAATGAGTCTTGTCTTGCAGTGAAAGCATTATCATACATGGTGATGGACACACTGAATGCTTCACACTCTAAATAATTGTGGCAAGAGTGAGTGAGTGAGTATGGTTTTTGCAATATTCCAGCAATATCACGGCGGGGGACACCAGAAATGGGCTTCATACATTGTACCCATGTGGGGAATCGAAACCAGGTCTTTAACCACCTTTGTGGGAATAGAACCTACACGTTTGATCTGTCAAGTCAACCACTAGGCTATCCCACCACCCCGAGGGATGCTCATTTGGTACAAAATGTCTTTACGTCATGATTGAGATGATCACTTGGTACAGTGTATATATTTACATTTTGAGTGAGATGCTACAAAGATATAGTGAATATATTTTGGTACAAAACTATAGAAAGGCTCTGGAGGAATATACATATCTTTGAGCAAGATTGTTCATAGCAGTGTATGAAAACTATAAAATGTGGCCTTGCTTGAGGGGCTGACCATTCCTCAAGGGAGATTACAAGTAGGGATGTCACGATTCACTGATTGTACCAATGGATTGGTAGATAATTCTCACGATACAATAGGAGATACATGTAAATATATATTGATACAAAATTTTATTGAAATCAGTATCCATTTGTTCGCGTATCGATTGATTTTTCTATTCGAATCGAAATATCATCATATTTTCCGAATTTGACACATACGAAAATTTGTTAGTTTCTGACACTTGTTTGAATAAACAGAATCAACCTTTTCTAAGTATTATTATTTTACAAAATCATCAACTGATAGTGGTTAGAACACATAATTGTGAATGTGATATGTAATTAAAAAGGTTGCTTCTAAATATACGCATATAAAGTCGGTATTGCTGTATTGAGATACGTATCGTATCTTGACCTTAAAGTCCAGATACGTATCGTATCATGGGGTACCTGTATCGTGACAGCCCTAATTACAAGGATGGCAAGAGTCGTAACAAGTACCCACTAAGAACACAGATGGCAAGATCCAGTACAATAAGAAACATATGTCAAAATTATGTACAGTTACATCATCATCAGAGTCAACCAAATATTAAATGGTGTGACATCCATTTTCATTACAAAGGCTTTATGGTGTTATGGTGTTTACAAAAAGTTGGAATACATACATGTGTATATTTATATAAAGAAGTATTTTACAACAAATATTGGCCCCAAATGCATATGAAGATTCAACATGTCTAACAAAAAAACCTCAATCAATCATCCTGACGTAAATATTTCAGTCTAAATGATCAGTCATGCCTTTGAAACATTCTTCGGAATACCACAGAAAATAACTCTGTGTGTGTGTGTGTGTGTGTGCGTGTGTGTGCGTGTGCGTGTGTGCGTGTGTGTGTGCATGTGTGTGTTTTATTCTGGTTGCCAAGATACCTGACATACATGTGTCTACCATGTTCTCTAAATAGGCAAATGGGGCAGGCTTCTACAATACATGAAAGTTTACTCACAAATATACATATTTACACAACAATAATAAAAATTAAAATAAGTAAAATATATATTTTACAAATTGCATTTTGGACCCAAAATTGTCAGATGATATTCAAATCACTTGACATTCACTTGATATTTAAAACACAATAACAGTGCATACAGATGTTTGTATCGGTAATAGAAATAAAACAAATAGCACTAAAATGTTGAATACACTAAGACGAAAATTCGCAGTCATTGATAGCTGATTCACAACACAGCCATGAAATGAATTCTTTTTCATCCCAACAGGACTGTTTGAATGTTCAGTTCTTTCAACAAGTGCAGCACTTAAGCTGTTTTCCACTCCAATCCTGGAATCGGAGGTCGTCGTTTTTGATGATCTCGCCGGTATCTCCGCGGAAAGTCGCTGCAATCTACCAAACATCCCTGTTTCTCATACTTCTCGATCAGTCTCTTGAAGATTTTGTCACTTCGCAGCAAGTTCTCATTACCTGTAAATGAAGAAATCCCATCATTTTCTTTACATCACCTTGTGCATCTACTACATCTACTACAACTACTACTACACCAGCAGTTACATTTACTATTACAACTACAACCATATCCATTGTGTAAGATATAGGCAATATTCTTGTCTCAAAGTATGTGATTCATTCATTGACATTGAGTTCATTATGTCATAACATTCCTTCAAGTTTGAGATTTCATCCTTACCAATGATGATGAGTCCTCTACGAGATCTGGTGAGCGCCACGTTAATCTGGTTGGCATCAGTGATGAAGCCGAGGTTGTGTTTGCTCCAGCCGAGTGTGGGGTTCTTCTCTATCTTGTAATGGGGCAGAGAGCGTACCGTGCTGAAGATCACGTAGTCCCACTCACCTCCTGTGTAACAAATATGGAATGGGTGAGTTGGGCTTAATGCTGTTTCAAACAGTAAGGGATGAGGAAGTCCCCAAATGACGCTGGTCGTAGATATTAACACTTCACTGAAACCCATGAACCAAGTCATGGTACTGGCTTGTGTGTGTGGGGGGTGTCCGTCCATGGAGTCCTGAAACCTCCCTTTCTTTAAAAACAACATATATCTGTGATCTGGTATTTGTAGGCCCATCTTATCACTAAGCCAGTTAGAACATCCGAAAAGATAGACCCAAAGCTAATTCCTTGTCATATGACTTCAGTTCAGAATAATGTTTATGTTTCTGATAGCAGTAACCTTGACCTTGTCAACACCATCACTGTGCGTGTGTGTTTGTGTGTTAGGTACCATGCCACAGTTCAACATGGATACCCCACTCAGACACAGAATACCGACTCCGAGCCGACCAGTTCTTGCATGTATCAGGCAGGGTAACAACAGGGCACCATATGTTTTGCCACTCTATCCACTGGACAACAGAGGTGGCCTTCTTTCATTTAACTAAATATTGCAACTGGAATGGCCATTGATGGATTCATTTGATAGTGATTCAGAAACGCATGCTTATGATATTGTCAGAATCATGCAATGATTCCTATTAAAATCTTATGATTTTGGAAATTTACTAGGGCTGGGACGGGTAGCTCGGGTACTCAGCTCAGGTGCGTCCTGAGTAGTACCAACAGTACTACCCAGACCCATGGTTAGTCATGTGATATAGTATTTAATGACAAAAGTTACCCAGCACTCCATAGTTACATTACAAGTCACTTATGAGACTCTTTCTGATGATGTACACATTATTTGAATATAGACAAAGCTTTAGTCAACTTCACTGTATGCATAACCAGATCGTTTATACATGTATCTGAATACATATCTGAAAACAATACCCAAGCATACACTTTGAACCCAACTCTTGAGACCTACAGCGGGTACCTGGGTAGGGTCAGGTACTAGAGGGTAGGGTACATGGGTAGGGTCAGGTACTAGGGGTAGGGTACACGGGTAGGGTCAGATACTAGGGGGAAGGGTACACAGGTAGATTCAGGTACTAGGGGGTAGGGTACCCGGGTAGTGTCGGATACTAGGGGGTAGGGTACACGGGTAATAAATTTTGACTAGCCCCAGCCCTAGTATTTACCTTGGCTGGCCACAACAGTGTTGACGTTGAGACTCTGATGGTGGTACTTGGACAGAGCCTCGCGTATCTTGGTACACTGGGCGTTGTACTGCGACATGATGTTGATGTAGCGAGGGGAGATTCCACCCTTCTGAACCAGCCAGCTGAACACCTCAACCTGAACAACCAAGACAAATGGTTAAGTAAATAGAAAGTATCACTTCCTAGGTTCTTAGTTTACACATATGTGTAATTATTAAGTCAGAGCAATGACCACTTTCTTTGTCTTAAGTTTACAAATAGTAAGAAATGCACTGAACATTTCCTTTGTCTTAAGTCTACATGTATATAAAAAGGAAGTAATGCACTGAACATTTTTTTTGTCTTAAGTCTACATGTATATAAATTCGAAGTAATGCATAGAACTCTTTCTTTGTCTTAAGTTTACAGGTATATAAATAGTAAGTAATGCAGGCCACACAAGTAATTATGTAATTATTAAGTCAGAGCACTGACCACTTTTTGGACGTTAGTTTTGTCTATGAAATTATTGTACTGACCACTTTGTCCACCTCTGCCTTGTTGGACTTGGACTGTTCATTGCCCTCCTCTGTGGACACACTGAGGCTGTCCTCCACCCCCTCCACATGGCACAGGACATGGGGAACCTCCGGCACCGGCCACACGGCCAGGGGCTCACACTTCCATGTCCAAGATGGACCTGTGGTAAGTTTACCATCGTAGAACTCTTCTGATGGGAAGTCACAGAGGCGAGGGTGCTGTAACAAAACAAACACTCCTTGAGGGCATGTGGACAATATGACATTCTTTGGTTAAATATATATGAATTATGACTGTTTCAGGTTCAAAAAGGGTAGGCCAGATGATTCTGTGGTCAAACTATAAGGGTCCAGCACTATATTTGCTAAGTTCCATTTCTTAATAGGCCACAAAAATATAATAGTCTTGGTTCTCAGGCACCGCCTGCATTAAAACATTCACCGCACGTTTAGTTTTTATTTCCATTTTTTTTTTTTTTTAAACAAAAAAATCCTTAAATATTCCAAGTCTAACAGTGGTCAAATACTGAATTCCAGTAATATACTCATTAAGGAATACATCTATGTAGGGAGGCCCTTTCCCAGTTAATTGTATTTGGTTACACAACTGTCTATTTGGTTACATTAAAGTTGAATAACTAAGAAAAAAAACCAAAAGCACCGCCTGCCCGCAGCATGATTTCAATAGCCATTGCCGAAGAAGCAAGTCTTTTATTTTTTTAAGCCTTATTTCAGGATGTGCTGGTCATTGGTTTAAATCTCCGATGTAAATTGATGTACAGGCATCATTTATGGTTGTGAGTTTCACAAACCTCTACAACCTGACAAGTCATGACATGTACCAGACATAGTTGACACACATCTTTTTATGAGACCGCCCCCGTGGTCTAGTGGTAGAGCGTCCACCCGGAGAGCGGAAGTTCCGGGGTTCGATCCCCGGCCGAGTCATACCAAAAGACGTTAAAAGATGGTACTTGTTGTTACCCTGTCTAACGCTCGGCATTTAGGGGCTAAAACAAGGACTGGTCGTCTCGTAGTCAGTATACTGTGTCTGAGTGGGGTATTGGCTACAATAAAATAAGTTATTCAATTGTTGCCATGATGCAACTGGAATATTGTTCACTGCAGCGTAGATTTAACCATTTCTGACTCACACAGGTAAAATGACAACTTACCATCCTGTACTGAGTGTTGAGGAATGTAGCCTCAGTAGCAAACCTCTCAAACAGCGACTGATCCAGCCCCAATTCTGCAGCCTGCTTGCACTGAACAATTGGCCGCAGCTGCTTGTGATCTCCTATCAGGACAACCTGCTTGGCCTTGGTGGCAATGATAGGAATCATGCTTTGTGGTTCTGGACTCATGGCACTCTCATCGATGATGAGCTGGAAGATGCGTGTTGACTGGACCACCTTCCTATTCCCACCGACTGGGCAGGTACAGAGGATCACATCGCACTTCTTGAGTTCTTCACATGAGGCCATGTACACCAGCTTCCCATACTTCTTGATGTGGCCCGGAGTGACGGCTTCTGGATTGGTCTTGAACAATGCATCATACATCCTTATTTCCTCAGCATGAGGTTTGCCTGACTGTCGTATCATGTGGTGGAGAGACACATCGAAGAGTCTGGGGTCAGATCGCAGGCCTCGCATGCTCCTCTTGGACATGAAGTTGCGTTTGGGCACAGGGTAGTCCTGAGCCACGATGTTGCTGCCGTAGAGGCGGATGATGTTGGGACAAGCATCTCCAAGTCGACATAACAGCAGAACTAGGAATAAATGTTTCAATAAAATACTATTTGCACAGTTAAACAAGATATCAACAAAGAAACAACAAACATTTCCATTGTCATAAGAAATCTCTACTTAAAAGCAGAGTCAACTGTAGAATTGTACGACTATAGATCATAACATGTGTTCAAGATTCACTATCAAGTCATGAAGAGTTTCAAAATCATGAAGCCAAACATGAAAATTTGATATTTGTTTTCAGATGGAAAACTGGCAAGCATACACCTGATTTTCAGTGGTCCATTCATATAATTTTCACAGCTTTTGTGCCCTTAATGCCAAACGGAATCTGTTTTCGGCAGATAATCTAGGCTGGTTATTCTCTTGCATTGACAACTGATATTACCCAACATCAAAAGCATTAACTCAGTGTAAACTTCTCCCAATGCTTCATTAAATGTAATACCAGCATTTCACCTTCCATTAAAGAGTCAGTCTCATTAAGAAACAATAAATATATTTTTAACATTCTGACTTACATGCTACAAGATCCACAGCTTTGTTGGACGGACCACAGAAAAGCACCTGTTTCTTCTGGTCGTCTACACCCTCCAGGTGAAGGAATTTGTTGATCTTGTTGAAGAGGTACACCAGCTTGATCCCAGTGTATGTCTTACCTGTACCTGCAGGATATATAGCAACGCATGATTGGAGAAATCCAATGGTATGATCTGCTTTTTAATATACCAATGGTATGATCTGCTTTTTAATATAATGTGCTGATATAAAAAATATCTCAGAATCCGGTGGCAGATTGAGACAAAGACAGAAGTGACAAATAATGAAAACATGACAGCAAATGATGCAATGTCAGGAAGTGAGACCAGACAGGAAGTGTGACAAGACAGGAAGTGAGACAAGACAGCAAGTGAGACCAGACAGCAAGTGAGACCAGACAGCAAGTGAGACCAGACGGCAAGTGAGACAATAACAGGACGTGAGACCAGACAGCAAGTGAGACCAGACGGCAAGTGAGACAATAACAGCATGTGAGACCAGACAGCAAAAGAGACAATAACAGGACGTGAGACCAGACAGCAAGTGAGACCAGACAGCAAGTGAGACAAGACAGCAAGTGAGACCAGACAGCAAGTGAGACCAGATGGCAAGTGAGACAATAACAGCATGTGAGACCAGACAGCAAAAGAGACAATAACAGGACGTGAGACCAGACAGCAAGTGAGACCAGACAGCAAGTGAGACCAGACAGCAAGTGAGACAATAACAGGACGTGAGACCAGACGGCAAGTGAGACAATAACAGCATGTGAGACCAGACAGCAAAAGAGACAATAACAGGACGTGAGACCAGACAGCAAGTGAGAGCAGCAAGTGAGACCAGACAGCAAGTGAGACAATAACAGGAAGTGAGACCAGACAGCAAGTGAGACCAGACAGCAAGTGAGACCAGTCGGCAAGTGAGACCAGACAGCAAGTGAGACAAGACAGCAGGTGAGACCAGACAGCAAGTGAGACCAGACAGCAGGTGAGACCAGACAGCAAGTGAGACCAGACAGCAAGTGAGACAGCAAGTGAGACAAGACAGCAAGTGAGACAAGACAGAAAGTGAGACCAGACAGCAAGTGAGACAAGACAGCAAGTGAGACAGCAAGTGAGACCAGACAGCAAGTGAGACCAGACGGCAAGTGAGACCAGACAGCAAGTGAGACAGCAAGTGAGACAAGACAGCAAGTGAGACAGCAAGTGAGTCCAGACAGCAAGTGAGAACAGACAGCAAGTGAGAAAAGACGGCAAGTGAGACCAGACAGCAAGTGAGACCAGACAGCAAGTGAGACAATAACAGCAAGTGAGACCAGACAGCAAGTGAGACCAGGCAGAGAGTGAGACCAGACATGAATTGAGACCAGACAGCATAAGTAAGTGAGACAGCGTAAGGATGTGAGACAAAGCCGCCTACCTGGAGGCCCCTGGATGAGGGTGAAGCTGGAACTGAGGGCCCGGTCTATGGCCTCGTGCTGCTTGGTGTTATTGAGAGGCAGACCCTGGACTGGGACCTCTTTCTCCATCTTCTTGCCATAGTCCAGTCTGTCCTTGTCTGTAGTGATAAGAGTTACATATGCATTACCATTGGTTGCAAGAAAGGCAGTTGGAGCCTGATAGCTAATGGGTTACTGGTCAGTACCATCAAGGACAGTTATATCTGTGATATACCAATTGTAATAGTTTTCTTCTGTTTTTTAAAAGAAAATATTTATGTTTAATATTTACTCACCCAGTTTAGGAGGCCTCCTGTGCAATGCAACACAGCTTGCTAAATCTAACTTGTCTCCACTCAAGCTTTGTATCATTCTCATTGTACGTCTGAAACAGAGTTAACATTATTACTGACCATTACAGTCACTTGGTCATATACCTTAACATGCTGTGTGCATGTCACTTGGTGTCACTTGGTCATATATACCTTAACATGCTGTGAACTGAGAAGATTGCTGAGGCAGAGTAAAGCAATAATCACTCACTCATACACCCAAAGGACACTCCTGAAAAAGTCAGATACTGAAATAATTTATTGTGAAAACTAGTTACTGTTACAAATCAGAACAACACAATCATGTTCTTACCTGTCAACTTCTGACTTGAAGATGACCTCTACAGTGCCAGTACTCTTGGGAAAGAGTTCGTCTGGCACAGGACCACTGTTGGCATTTAAGCTGAATGTGACCGTCACATAATCTGATTCCATGTCCTTGTCTTTCTTTCTCCTCACTTTCATGATCTGAGCATGACCGACCCACGTGTAGGTGTCTGCCTGTGAACAGACATCAGCTCCACATCCTTCAGACACCTTCCTCTTCTTCAAGGCACACTCAACAGCCTCTGCTTTCCTCCTAGACCTCCTCCTTTCTGATGACTTACTCCTCTTTGAGGATTTCGTTTGCCTTCCTTCTTTTGTCAGTGGGCAAGGGACTTCAATGACCTTGTTTGAGATCTCCTCATCATAGGTTTCCCGTGACTCAGGTCTATTTTGGTCAATCTTGATTCGTATGCAGAGATAGTCAATTGAGGAGAACTCCCTTCGTCCAAAGTTGTCCCTTTCATCATCATCGTCGTCTCCCTCTTCTTTCAACTTCTCCAAAGGTTTGCCTCCAAACTCAATGCACCTTTCATGCACAAAACTAGAGGGAAAAGTGAATGTCCCTTTGTAGAAGGTTTTTGTTTTACCTTGGTTGCGTTTGAATTCGATGTTGACATTGTTGATGATGATGTTCTCTTCACTACGAACTGCCGATGTCGCAGATTCCATTTCCAGAAGAGGCAGCCATGTTCTCTGATACTCAGATATTGACTCAATGTTCTTTTTGGTCGATTCTGTAGCATACTTACTCAACACACCAACTGGATCTTCCATGTGACTGAGACACAGACTGAGGTTCTTGCAAACCTGAAACAATCTCACTTGTGGAGTGAGTAAACCCTTCTCTGGATTAGCAACCATCTGAACTTTGATGACACGTCCGGGTGTAAAGCAAAGAGTAAACTTGCAGTGGTGGAACTTGATGGAACCATCTCCATGCTCTGAGGTGACCATGTCCCTCACTGGTGCTCCAGTGGGCAAATCTTGTCCTTCTCTGGGTTGAATGTTGACCATTTTCTTCAATGCTTTGTGGTCCTGGCTGAACAATGCATTCAACATCTTTGCCCAGGTCTGTGTGTCCACAAAGTACACATGCTGATTAGGATTCACAATAGACACGACTTGTTTTGGCCGTTGCTTCTGTTTGAATCCTTGCTGCTTTTCCAGCATCTTTGAATACATCAGCTGGCTTGGACATCCAGTACAGTCATACAGCCTTTTCTTCCATTTTCCTGTGACGATTGTCTTTGTTGACCAAGGATCTTGTTTCTCCTCTGGTTTCTTACTGAAGTCCATCAAGTTGAAGGGTAATTCCTTGCTTCTGCTGGACACATGCTTCAAAGAGGGGATACAGAGCTCTGCTCCACTGTCCGAGACCTTGTCCACCACAGCATTAAATACCATTGGCCTCTGCGAAATCTTTGCAGCTCTCTTCAAAGCCTGGCACCCATTGCTGAAGTGTTTCTGTCTGGAAGTGGCATCATTGATATAGGCACAAATGTCAGCTATTTCTGATGATGAGTAGGGACAGGATTTCCCATCAAGAGCTGCATGCACCAGTCTGTGTACAACGAGGTCCACATATCTCCGGATAGGGGATGTGAAATGTGTATACATCTTTGTATTCAGAGAGAAGTGATTCAGCTCTTTTTCAGAGAGCATTGAACATTTGTATTCTGCAGATTCCATGATTTGTCGCCAGTGTTGAAGAGCAATTGCTTGGAAAGGGTGGACCTCATCTTTGCACATATTCCTTACAGCTTTAGTCAGGGTTTCATCATGAACTCCATCAAGAATCTGAAGCCAGATGTTCTTCTGGACTGGCAAAAGCTCTTTTCTCACTGTGTTGCCCTTGGCTACCCAGTTCCCTGATGCCACCGTCCTGCCAGGTAAGACTTCTCGTCCTTGCAGGTTCACAACAAGGTCCAGGAACTTATCCTCACTGTGGACAAACTTTTGGACATCCTCTGTAGATGGTGGAGACTGACATCTGATGGGGATGGAATCTGGGAACTTCTTTCTCAACCACTGAGCAATGGATGTATTGGCTTTGATCATGAACTCTTCAATGAGTGCATGGGCTTCAATATTCTGCTCTATGACTTCAGTCTCAATAAATCTTGGATCTTCAAATGGAACAGCAAACCTAGAATCTTTAAGTCTGTCCTTTCTCAAGTTCTGGGCAATTTCATGAAGCAGTTGGATATTGTCTTTCAGAGTTTGTGAAACATGATCCACTTCCTCATTTTCAATAACTTTCTGAGCATCTTCATATGACAACTTGCAGGAAGATTTAATCTTTGTTTTCATGACTGTTGGTTCCTTTACAAGCTTTCCTGATTTTTCAATGTGAAAGAAAATGGACAATGCAAGTCTTTCTTCATTTGGTAGCAGACTACACATGCCCTCACTCAGTGGTTCAGGCAACATGTTGTGAGTCCTGGACTCGCATGGATAGAAGCTTGTGGCTCTCTTCTGTGCCTCACTGTCAACAGGGTCCCCTTTCTTCACCACTGAGGCCACGTCAGCAATGTGAACTCCAATCAGATAGTGGTCATCCTTGGCAGAGATACTCAAAGCATCATCTAAGTCTTTTGAATGTGCAGGATCTATTGTGAAAACTTCAAGCCCTGTGCAGTCAACTCTGTCATCAGCAAGAACAGTGTCTCGCTTCTTCAGAATTTTACCAATATGAGTAACTGTGTCTTGAGAAAAGTAGGTCGGAACCTGATATTGCATTTCCAGGATCTTGAGACCTCCATTGAAGTCGGTGCCACACTCAATGATGTCTACCACTGCTCCAAGAGGGTACACATGGTGGATGCCCCAGGTGAGATAGACGACCAGGAACACATACCTTCCTCTAAGTCCTGGTTTCACATCAAAATATTTCTTGTATCGGAGTTGTCCATTCTCATTGATTTCATATGTATCAATCCTGTATTTGGACAAGGAAGGGTATTTCTTCTTTGTAACACCATTCAAGGCATGAATCTTTGGCACAGTTTTGCAAAGAGGATGCATCAGAAACCCTTCATCATCATCACACGTACAGGCCATGACTGTATGGCTCTCTTCCCTGAAGTTGCTGTTGAGGACACCAACAACACGTCCATACACCTTGTCATCTTCCTCAGCCCTCTTGTATATCACATGACCAGACACAGGATGGGAGTGAGGCTCTGACAGAACCTCCACACAAACCTCATCATTATTGAACGTCTGGCCACACTTGGACCTCCCGTGAATCTCAATATCAGTGTAGGTTTCCCCTCCTGACAACACTTTACACACAGCCTTGTGAGATGCCTCAAACTGAATCTTACACCGCTTGTACTTCTCAGGCATGGCTGCTATGAGTCGTCTCAACTCAAAGTCGGGTTCCAGGGGCCTATAGAAAGGAGCCCTGGTCTGTTGATACTGCTTGGCCTCGATGCTCTCAGTCTCCACATCCATCCCCATGCCACAAGTAATCTTTGTGTCCACATCACCATTGTCATACATTTCCTTACTTTCTTCAAACCATGTCTTGTCCGACTTTTCAGCCTTGACTTTGGTCACCTCTGGCTCTTTCTCTTCATGTTGAGAAGAGGGTGATCCTCGAAGCTCAAAAGCATCCTCAAGATCTGATCCATCATCCCCACTCGATGTGTCCCAGGCTGTGTACTGAAGAAGAGGGTTGCTGTCAACATTGAGCTGTGAGGGGTCCTTGCCTGCTTGTCCAGCAAAAGGAAGTGACAAGCCATTAGATGTTCGGTATCTTTGTTCACCCTTCTGCATTGGTCCACCTTTGAGCCAGTCAGTGTGACTAACCTGGATGGGTTCCACATGTTCTCGTCTTGCTGTTAAAACAAGAAGCGTAGAGTTATTTGTGAACTAGGGGTGAATCTTGTTCTAGTCTGCAATACTAAAGCTATATCAAGCAGCTTATTACAGTCCTACATAGAAAACAAATCTTGCAGCAGCATCAGTTTTAGTCCTAGCATAGTCTTCAGATAGCATGCAAATAATCAATCCTGGGAAGGCAAACCAGGGGTTGATAACATGAGCAACAATCCACTGAGCTGGGTTAGATGACACACTATCAGACAGGAATTACATTGTCAGCACTTAGTCATCATTAAAGTTGGCTCTAATGTCTCAAAATTCATACACTTCTACATATGTTTGTGATTGTCCTGTTGCCACGACTTTGTGTAAGTGGGCCCTTGTCTAGAACAAGCAAACCAGTGACTCCCAAGCTCCATAACTATACTACTTATAAAGAGTTAAGGAACACCTTACTCATTCATATAACTATAACTAACCTGTAATGACATCACAGATTAACTATAGTTATACGAAAGAATTTGGTGGTCCTTAACTTTTTGTTTGTCATATAGATATAAATCTATCTTCATTGTGCCAATATCTTATGGACAGATTATATGGCCGATATGTCTTCCTTGACAGGTCATAAAATACATAGAAGATACAAGGATAACAGTATGACTCTAAAGTTTCAGTACATATTTAGATCACAAAACAGTTTTAAACTTACGTCTGGAATGCCTTTTCTTCTTGACGTGAGCATTCTTGGCCTGTTGCGCCCGTGCTTGCTGCAACTGTAACACAAATATGTTCTGGTCATGTGACAACAATAATGAATTTGAGGATCCACAGGGGGTGCAGACACATGCAGACACATCATAGGTGAGCAGGTATACCATATTTCCTCCATTAACCAGTCAAGAAAGTTACTGTTTCTATAACATGAAATACTGCAAGGCAGTTTCCACACGACCACAAGGATTACCGACAATAGTGTGAAACACGGAGTATGGCTGCTGAGTATTGACTGACAGAGGAGGGACATCAGGTGGACTGACACCAGTTCATCAGTTCATGGCTCAGCTAGTCATACTGTTGTCGCAATGCTACTCAACGTTTAGTAGGGATATTGAGATGCTTCATACCATTGACAAATATAGTCTTTGATAGGCATTTAAAAGTTGGGAGAACATGAACATTGACAAATATATATAAGCAATCAGTTTAATGTATCAAGCAATATCCTTATCAATAGTTGAATGGTATATATCCAGTACACTACATTCATTATTGCCAAACAAAAACAGAATTACTAATCATATTTGCCCATTCGAACTCATCTTCAGGTATATCTAAGAAGATGTGGTCAATACTTGAGCATCATCCAGGTGAGGACCCATTTTTAGATTCCATATTAAATCATGTGTTTATCATCGCATCACTTGATTGAGTATTTACAGACTGCCGTCAAAAAGCTGGAATGTGCAGCACATTCATTAACATGTAAACATGTTTGTAAACAGCAGGGATGTGAGCAGGTTTTCCCCCACAAAGAGGAAAAGGCTAGGGGGGTCTGTAGTCCAAGTAGTCGTGATAGAAAACGTATGATGTCCGAAAACCTATGCTGCTGAAAGCTCTGATCGAAAACAGGATATTCTGTGCGGTTGTCCGGTTTTCGATCACATATATTCTGTGCGGTGGTCCCGTTTTTGATCATATTTTTTCGGAGAGTTTTTTTTAAAATCTTTGATTATAATTTACGAGGAAGATAATTTTTTTCCGAGGACTACTGTTTTTCAAAAAAGCAATTTTCCACGTTTCCGCATGGAGTTTCCACATCCCTGAAACAGACATGACTACAATCAGATAATTATGTTAAATGTGACGTTTAATATCATTACCTGTGTGGTGCTGATGTTGGTCCCCGTCAACCAATCAGCATCTGGCTCCATCGTCGGCTGCTGCGTAGAGGTGGACATCTCCTGGCGCAGCTGGTCCATGTACTTCTGAAGATGCTGCTTTATTTTCTCCTCCTGAATAAATGTCGACTTGCATTAGTTTTATAAGGAAGACTGAACATGGGTAAAACCTCCATATATCAGAGAACATCCAGAAAATCTAAATTAATCTTAATAAACATTATTTTAAACCTTACTGAGACACATGGTTGGCAAAGTTGTCAAAGGCCCTTCTATTCGCTGTGCAGAGTTGTGTCCCTTTGGTGTGCCAGAAACCTATGATCACGGGTGCGATTCCCAGAAAATGTTTCTAAGTTTGTCATCTCCATACGTATACCCGTACTAATTGGTTTCCCTCCAATATAAAGAAGACATATCATGACATAACTGGAATACTGTTCAATGTGTTTAACACAACTGGCCCACTTACACACTCACTCACTCACTCACTCACTCACCCAAACATCAGTGATTCATATGTAGTTTGAATCTATAAAAACAGAATTTTAGTAGGGATATTGCGATATCTGTCATAGAACTACAACAACAACCTAGGAGTACTTATAGTCACACAAACTTGAGATGAACCTGCTTCACAATGTCAATTTCCTATATATTCTTATGACAACATCGCCAAGCAATAAGTCACTTTCACCTTTACACCGAATATCTCTTTTAAATTTGGAACATATCTGAGTAAGGCTTAAAAAAATAAAAGAATTGGCTCTCAGGCAAGGCTTTTGAAAATATAGTGTGTGGGCAGGTGTAGCTTTTTGTTGTCTTTTGTTGTTATTGTTGTTGTTCAAACTAGTACGTAACCAAATAAACAGCTTGAAAAGAGAAGTAACTGCACGCCAGATTGGATCACATTGTTTTTAAGTATTGTCGCATTTCACTGCCGGGGTCATGTGTTCAAGACATAGTTGAGAATTTTTTATCCTTTTTTATGATGATGCTGGCTGTCCCTGAGAACCAAGACTATTATTTTTTTATACCTAACTTATGATGTAACTATACCTGAATACAGTCCTTAGCACATTCCACTTTGTCGAGTGCCGCTCTGTATTGTCCGTTCTTGTGAAGAGCTCGTGCCCAGAGCTCGTAGGGAATGTAGCTGCCGCAGTCAAAGAGCTCGCAGGCTGGAAACAGAGGACACAGGTGGAATAAACATGATATAACCTGCATTACATTACATAGGGATGCGACACAGCTCGCAGGCTGGTAGCAGAGGACACAGGTGGAATAAACATGATATAGCCTGCATTAGATTACATAGGGATGTGACACAGCTCGCAGGCTGGAAACAGAGGACACAGGTGGAATAAACATGAAATAACCTGCATTAGATTACATAGGGATGCGACACAGCTCGCAGGCTGGTAGCAGAGGACACAGGTGGAATAAACATGATATAGCCTGCATTAGATTACATAGGGATGTGACACAGCTCGCAGGCTGGAAACAGAGGACACAGGTGGAATAAATATGAAATAACCTGCATTAGATTACATAGGGATGTGACACAGCTCGCAGGCTGGTAGCAGAGGACACAGACAGGATGGACAGAGCCCAAACCTATATCCCCCTCCCACACTGTGACATGACATACACCGATACAACCAGCATACCACTGCATCGGTATGTCACACAATGTTGGCTCTGATGCTGGTTCCACCAACACTTATGTTTCCCCTCTCCCTATGAATAGAGACTGGTAGGTCTCAGTAGCAAGCTGCCTGGTACACATATATAGAATAGTATCCTTAAACTTGGTCTCTTATTAGTCAATATCCTTTCTCTTTATGGAGACATTTTTCACACTCAAAACATGAAAAAGCAGAGACAACTAATACTACATATACTATCTTATTTAACTTGCCATACATATTTCTTTGTCTCTGTCTTTTTCTCCAAAACATCATCACAAACAAATTATTTTATGTCTAATGTAAAATCTAAATGTTTTCAACCATTGTCAACTGTATTTCTTCCGAAAAAATTTGGCCTACTGGAATGTCAAAACATATAAAGACAAGTTATCTCCCTTGATCAGTTACAAAGGAACCTAATAAATAGCTGTTCCAGAAAATGTGTATTTGTATTATCAAATGACTGATTTCTGGCAAACTTCAATTTGCTTGTTTCTGTAGTAGATTCATATCCTGATTAAAATCATTTGGCATAAACACACACTACTCTCAGACGACATGTTAACAGCCTTGTTTGAGGTGAAGCTACTCAAATGTACAGAATGTCTTTACAATTTAATATTTTCAAACAGTCGGATTCCTAACAATTACAATTTGTGAAATCAGATTTATTTGAAAGGAACTTACCCTCTTTACAGTATCTGGTGCAAAGTCTGTACTGCCCCTACAACAGGCAAGCCACATAAGTTATTCATCCTATATTTCTCTTATAATAAACAAACATGAATACATGGGGAAAAATAGTTTTTTCATTTCTTTAGTAAACATTACATGATTTTATTAATGGAAATTGGGTTCAAAGTCGCGTCTAAGATTATTGCACTTATATAGCGGCGTTCATGTGTGTGTGAGTGTGTGTGCATGCGTGCGTGAGTGTGGGTGCATGTGTGGCTGCTTGTATAAGTCCGGACTGATGCAGATTTATAGTGCTTGCCCACTGAGATACCATAGCGCAGCATAACATGAATACCCTACTCAGATACAGTATATTAACTCCGAGCCGACCAGTCCTTGTTTTAGCCCCTTAATGCCAGGCACCAGACAGGGTAACAACAAGTATCATCTTTTGATGTCTTTTGGTACGACGCACCCGGATATCGAACCCCGGACCTTCTACTCTCCGGGCGGATGGTCAACCACTAGACCAAAGAGGTGGTCTTATCAGTATCAAAGAATAAACACTTTCAAAGTTTTGCACCTAGCCTAAAATTGGCTACTTGTATGACATCTGCACCGTCACTTAACATCCCCGCAAGCAATACTAAATGATTTATCCCTAAATCAGATTATTTCATCTCAAAAAGCTGCATCAGAGGGACTACAATTATTGATATTAGGATGTAAATATAAGTCTGAGGAAATTTTTTTTTAAATGATGTAACATCAACTTACACAATAGCCGTGACTTACCGCTTGGTAGCAGCACTTGGCCAGCAGGAGAATGAGATCGCCTCTTTTCCTTGTCTTTTCTTTTTGGGAGAACCAGCTTCTAATGAACATGTATGCTCGGAGAAGGTCGAGGCACAGAAAGTAGGAGAATGCTGGATTCACCTTCATGTACTCGAAAGCTAAATCCCTCAAGTCCTGCAGCAGCCCTTGTGTGCTCTGTTCAGTAATAATAATAATAATAACGATGGTGGTTATGATGATGATGATGATGATGATAATGGTGGTGGTGGTGATGATGATGGTGATAGTGGTGATGGTGATGATGACACAACTTATAGCAATATTCCTGATGGGAAACACTATGAATTGACTTCACACATTGACGCATTGACCCTGATCTTATCAAACTTTCTGTATCAAATCATAAAATGTATATCATCGTGACCATATTCAAAAAAATATCAGATATTACACTTCTGGGCTGGGACCAACAATCAAAGGAGCATGGATCGCCTAGGGAATCAACACTAGATCGTGAAAAGCAGCACTTACTACCAGCCCCTAACAATATTAATCATTTTTATAACATGGTAATTATTTAACCTAAATTTGATAAGGAGATAAACATACTGTGTTTTCAATGTAGAGCTAGGTTAGCTGTAGATTTAAACCCGCTAAATTGAATTTGGAACCGAACGCGCAGCGTGAGGTTTCAAATGTTAAATTTAGCGCGGTTATAATTATTTAAATATGCCTACCGACACTGACTGAAAATAGTACTATTCTATGAATATTAGCTTCCGCGGTGGTGCAGCCGTCAAACCAGCTGTTTCAATCAGAGGGGGTTTATTGTGATTAAATAGCCTCTGATTGACCAATCAGAATCGAGTAAATTCCAAATTCATGGTAGAATAATAAATTAATGTTGATTAAGCATGTGATGAAAATGTAAGGTGAAGTATTGTATATTACCGATTGATTAATGCTCCATATCTGGGTGTCAATGAACAGAGTCCTCCATAGCGAGGCTGCAGAATAGGCACAGGCCATGTTTAGAACCAGTTCTCGGCCAGGCTCTGCACCATCCAGGCAAGCAGTGATGTCCAGTAGAATCATGGCTGTAACACAAGGCACACAGGGTTACTGCAGTAGTATCTTAGAGTGCCTGAACTAAATGGACGCATCTGTCCTGTCAACGAACTTGACACTAGAATGTTTTCAAGCCAAGAAATGATGCTGTATACAACAAATAATCACCATTTACTTACATGTACATGCAGTAAATACTAACCAGGAATACATGTATCTAAGCCAAGTGACTAAAATCGGGTTTTATCACCTTCCAGACCAAATAGTTGAGTCAATGTACACAAAAATTAAAGAAACCTCATTTTTAAGCCCATGGGCTAAAAGGTGAAAGGAACCATTTACTTTTATAGTTTTATAATTAAAGTTATAGCAAGGTTAATTTGACAACTAATACATAAAGCAAGATTTAGAAATCTGTGGCTACAGTATTATACAATGTTACTTACTTCTATAGAAATATTGGAAGGCTTGAAACATGTCACACCCCTGAAAAAACACAAATACATTAGTTATCACTAATACCATAAATATGATAAACAAACCACTCAACACTTGCCACAAAGTTATGTACATATGAATATTTCATAAGTTTTGGTTTGGATTGTTGTTTAACGCCGCACTCAGCAATATTCCAGCTATATGACGGCGGTCTGTAAATAATTGAGCCGGACCAGACAATCCAGTGATTAATATCATGAGCATCGATCCACGCAATTGGGATCGATGACATGCTTCAACCAAGTCAGGGAGCCTGACCACCTGATCCTGTTAGTCGCCTCTAATAACAAGCATAGTCGCCTTTTATGGCAAGCATGGGTTACTGAAGATCCATCTACCCCAGAACTTCATGGGTCAGTACATAAGTATCCTAATCAAAGCTGAGAAGTATATAGTCACTTATTTTGAAAATATAATACTAACAACTCTGAGATTGTTTCCCACCCATTAACAAAAACTTTAGTTTTTACTCATAACAAAAGGCATGTCATGTTTTCAAGTCTGTGACCACGGTAACATACCTGTGTCAAGGCAAAGTCGGTGAAGTTGCAGGTGAGTATGATGGCCTGAGTCTGGAGTTCCGGGGATGGTGGAGTTCCTGTTGGACTCAGACAGAGTCTCATGGAGGTCACCAGTGTATTGCATTCTCCCGGGGTGAACTCTGAGTTTATGACCTTCTCTATCCCCTCCTGCAGGAGGGCGTTCATGTCCTTGGTCTCCGACATCATGTGCTGGATAGCCTGGCCAATAGAGGAGTCCAGTTAGTAGATGCCTTAACACTATAGCAGCAGCATCATAGCCGAGAATAACAAGTGTGTGAATGACAACTGTTAACAATATTTCAGTAATATTGGGCAGGGGTCACAACAGTTGGATTCACAAATGGTTCACATGTGGAGAATCAAACCTGGGTCTTTAGCTGGATGAGCAGACACTTGTACCACCAGGCTACCCTATCCCCAGACAAATGACAGGGAGGATCATTGTAACTCAGCTGTGTCACAGTGATAGAGTTCCACTTAGTATGTTCTATATATGACAGATGTGTTTTGATCTTTACCATGTCAACAGCAGCAAAGCACAATCCTTGCAAAATGTAAGTGAACCCTTAGCTGACAATCTTGTGGTTGAAAGCAAGAGCTTGTGTCTTGTCAGAGAGTATGGTTTTACACCACTTTTAGCAATATTCCAGCAATATCATGGCCGGGAACACCAGAAATTGGCTCCACACATAGTACCCATATTGGGAATCAAACCCGGGTCTTCGGTGTGACAAGCGAACGCTTTAACCACTAGGCTACCCCAACTACCCCCGACACACTAAGTCATCCAGAAGTGAGTGAGTGTGTCGTGATTAACGCTGCTTCAAACAGTATTTCACTTATATAGTATTTGATGGCAGTTTAATGTGGGAGGAAAGCCCAAAGTGATGTTCACCAGCACCACAGGTATAGTTGTCGATACCGATAGATCAAAACGGCGTCAGATTTGAGATTTGAACCAATGACTAGCAAACACTAGCATGGCTAAGGGGATGAAACACTTCACAGAAATAGGTGGCACCTGACACCACTGAGCACTTCACGATGCCATCATGTCCAGAAGAAGATGGTCTACAGACTGTTACTATCACTATGACCAACCAATCCACATTCAGTCTCACCTTATGACAAGTATACCAACTTGGTTATACTATAGCTGGGGATCGTATAACTGCAATATAACTGCCAGTGGCATAACGCCATAAACCGTCAACAACCCCTTTTTTTATTGATGTATTTTTGAAGGACAAGAGAAGGACCTACCTGCCCCATGATGCTCCCTTCTGGTGTGGCAAAAAAGGAGTGCAGCTGCTCAAGTAAAAGTAGAGGATCTAAAAAAACAAATTAAATAAAACAATTAGAACTAAGCAAATATTGACAGCAAATAACTAGGAAAGCATGGTCTGATGAGTTAAAATGGGGTTTAACATTGTGTTCAAGATTACTGCACTTACATAGTGACGCGTGTGTGGATGCTGTTAAGCTTGGAATAATGCAGATTTTATACTGTATTTATTAATAGGGCTAGCCCACTAAGATACCATGCCGCAGTTTAACATGGATACCCCACTCAGACACTCATTATAGGACTCCGAGCCGACCAGTCCTTGTTTTATACCCTTAATGCTGAACAGCAGGCAGGGTAACAACAAATACCATCGTTTAATGTCATTTGGGATAATGCAGCCAGGGATCTAACCACGGCCTCCTGCTCTTTGAGTAGACACTCTATTCAGTAGACCACAGAGATAGTCTATTAAATAACTAAACTGCAGAAAAATACAAAGTAATTAAGGGAAACATTAAATTAGAATGTACATATAATGTTCATTTACCAATTAACATGTACACATAAAGGGAAAAAACATTTCCAAAATCACAAGAAATTTCTACTTAACATGCTTACAGCAGAGTCCATTATACTGTTACATGAAGGGGACAATATCATAAGTATGTGTCTATAAATCACTATCTGATGCCAGGTGTTCTCAAAAATGTGGGAAGTCAATTAGACACACTCTATCCACATGATGTATATGCTGGATAATGTTTTATAGCCAAAAGTGCCTTAAATACCTTGATTATCAAAAAGGAGAACCTCTAGTGGACCTCCTTTGTGCTTAAAGGAATATGGGAGAGGGTAGCAATTAACCTGGTGTAGGAGAATGTCTAGTGAGGCACCAGTTCCAGAGAGGGTTGGGCCTTGATTACCCAAACTCACTGCAGGCATCTAACTTCTGGTGTTTCACTAACTTCACTATTTGGTGAAATAATATTCCTTGTGAGGGTAATATCAGGTTAATATAAAGAGCAAGAAAATAGTATCTTGATTTGTTTATTAGGCTTATCACAGCTAATTATTGTTTGTGTAATTAACACAAGAACAGGTCCAGGCCATGACAGAGTTGCACTGTGCATGTCAGTCTGGCTGATAGAATATACTGAAGTATGCGTAATTGCTATCCCAAACACACATAAACCACAAAAGAAGTCATACCAGCGCTTTCCAGCCTTAATTACATCATGTATATATTCTTACAGTTTTCACTTAGGCAGTTTACAAAATGCCTAAATATTTCAGTCATTTTACAAATTTGAATGAAAAATGGCCATTTATTGTATTCCAAATAATTGTATTTTGACGATTAATTTGAGCACACAGTGACTGAAAATGATAGGATTTAAAGAAAACGAAAGTCAATGTATATTTTTCTTCATTTTTTGGCTTTCTAATCTTAGCATTATAAGTCTATAGTTATGATTTATAGCCTGTTTGGCCTTCTCAATACTGTCCTGTCAAACTGTCAAATAAATGGACAGTTTTCTCTGTCGATTTATAAAATGAGAGAAATATTTAGGTATTTTGTAAATTGACAAAGTGAATCACACTTTATACATTAGGAAGAGAATTTATGGATGTCATCTTCTTTATTATGGTGTTCCTCATAATAAAGAAGTTGACGTCCATAAATTCTCTTCCTTATGTGTATCACTTCTAAATGCCTTTCAAAGACTTGACACATTGACTGTAACAGCCATGACATAGACATCTTGTTCATGAAAGGAATGGACCACAGTTCTCCCAGTTAGACGACAATTAGAACCGAAACAATAGACAAACTACAGCCGGAAACAAGTATGATCGTGATAAATAATATTATTATACACAACACTTGCTATTATATCTGAATGCAATCAGGTTCAGGGAATTAACACACATACATCGTTCCTGTCTTACTTACCCATTGCGTGGTGGGTTAATCTAGGCTTTTCATGCAGCTAGTAGTTGATGCTTACAACACATAGGTATCCAACGAATAACCGAACTCTCTCATTCAAACTGTTTAAGTGGCCGCAGTTCAGACGACTTAGCTTATATATACAATGCAAATGACATCGTCGCTATAATTATCTCACGCACCACATACATATAACGTTATTTTGCTTCATCAACAAATCAATGTCTAGTTGAACCAGAGGCAAAAATAGAAATACGGAAACACGGGAAATACCAGGAAACCCATATATTCGATGGACACACAATGCAAGGCTATCAGCTTGCTGGAATTGTGTTCTCCGTCATTTGAATGAAAGCGAAAGTAGGGGCCACTCCTCATCGATTGCTGACAGTATCGACAGGAATGTACAAATTTTCGCCATGTCAACACATGCGGAGGGAATATACGTGGCTTATACTACCTTACTTTGATCGAGCCTAATTTTGAACTGCCATTTTGCATGATATCCATAACAGAATATTTCAAGCTGAATGCACTTCCTGGTATCGCGTAAGAAAGGCATCTGCTGCTGCTATTTGCTTCGCTGCGTATTTTATATATTTTCTGAATCCGCTTCTAGTAATATCTTAGTCAACGTGCATATTGTTACTTGATAATTTAACTAATTTTCCTAGTTCTCTTTTTATAATTTGTAGAAGTATGTACTTATATGTTTTTACCTTTAATCAGACGATAACAGCGTATATATAGTATGTTAGAGATTAGTTGTAGACAAGTAGCACATCAAAAAGGTAAATATTTTGATTGCGTAATGTGTGCGTCTAAAAACGACTTCTTAGAAAGCGTTGTTTATTCATGAGAAATATATCAACACTATTAATACTCGGGTATTCCCGTCAGTTTCCGTCAAGCTACAGTGGAATGCACATGACAGATGATGTAGATCTATGTTTTGTTTGTTTGTTGTTTAACGTCGCACTTTATGTAGATCTACATGTACTAGTAGGTTGGCTGCACAGTGAGTGAAAAGATTTTTTAATACACTGCCAATGCGCAGATCTTCCTTGAAATAGCAGAGATAGATTAAAGGCTGAATTACTATGTAAGCTGTGATTTATTATATGAGTCTTTCATTGACTGATATCAAATTTCGAATTATTGACATGTAATTGTCGCGGCCATAAAATATCCGAGTCCTGTGATGGGAACCACGGACCTTCTGATCCGAGGTCGGATGCTTTGTCCACTTGACCAAAGAGATTAACCCCATCAGCAAGCTGACACGGTAAGGATGTCATCTGTGGGATGACTCCACGCCCTGCTACATAGCAGGCCATGTGGACAAGGCGTCCGACCTCGAATCAGAAGGTCCGTGGTTCGAATATTAAAATGGTTAAACCATTGCAACATAATATATATATTGATATAGCAAAATTATTTTAGAATTCAAAATTTTAAATATATTTAATGGTATCTGTAAGTGAGTCCTATATAGAAAAGGTAAAGTATAGTAAAAACAAGTCTAATTCAGTCAATATTAAAGAGCACGTGTGACTCTGAATCTGAGCTATATAATGACAATCTCTCATTATCGACATAATAATTTTTAGATCGATTAATGATTTAGTGTTATTTTTAACACTTTTTGATAACACCATAACACTTAACCTCAGTTGTAAATGCTCGCTAATTTACACGTCTTCTTTATAGACATTAGTACATGTACATTTGTATCTTTAAAAAAAGCAAGTTGGCATTTAGATGGGGGGGGGGGGGGGGGGGGGGGGGGGACACACATATCAACACACTGAAAATACACAGGGAACTGCAGTAACACAGATCTACTGAAATACCGTTTCATCCAGGGCTCCAGATACCTTTCTTGATGACTGTTAAACCAATAGGCAGACATTTTAAACTAATCCTGCATAAAACCTGTTTCAGATTACTTCTAATTTGCTTTTGTGAAATAAATTATTCACTGTAGTAAAAGATATGCAAAGATTAAAAAGAAAAGAAATATAGGTACGCAAGGTAAAAAAGGCTTATTCGGTCCATTTTCTATACAATTAAACACAGATGTCTTAAGCCACGTAGAATAAACCCCAGAATGATAAATATATGAACATGGCGACATTCTATTTAGCCTAAATTAAGTTTAATAGGTGTATCATTAAACATAATTGGCATTGTTCACCCAACCTAATCATAAATATTGAGGAATATGCAATAATAATGCTAAAATTCTTCCTTTGTCCTTCCTTTTAGTGGACTAAAAAGCGGTTGTTAGAAAGACATTATTATCACGATGAAATATTGTATATACATTCGCAAACCTCCTGGGTTAGTGAGGGAAATTGGTTTAAGATTTTAGCAATATCCCTGGGGGGACACGAAAATTGGCTCCACACATTTTACCCATTACGGAATAGAATATATCGGGTCTTCATGGCGCGCGGATGCAATAACCACGAGGCTACCACGCCAGCGTTTCTGTGAGAAGACTTGTGGATTTGAAATAACCAAATGTAGTTTACTACATGTATACTGTCGGGCAAAAGAAAGTACACACCCATGTGTGATGGTGACTAAAATGACACAAACAAGAAAAGGTTAATCGATGGTGATGTAAAGTAAGAGTCAAAAGAAAGAATACCGTTTAAAGTTTGTTTAAAGTATAGTTTGTTGTTTATGTAATTGCAACAGTTTGAAAAAAAGATAATCCGTCGTTTGGTATAATTTTGTGAAAAAATAAAAAGGTTCAATGTAGACTGGGATAAGAAATGAATTTACCAAGTTTGAAATGTTGATGTTTACCGAAAAACCAAATTGATAAGATAAGATGTCTTAGAAACCCATAAGCAGTTGTGTATTAAGCGAATTTTTGTTTTTAATTTTTAAATGTTTAAAATCAAAACCATTTAGAAGTATTCTTTGAGTGCTGACTATATAAGCGCCAGTGCAGTTCCTTTTAGAATATAATATCGCTAACTTAAGATATTTTCAATTGAACATCACTCATAAAAAATCACCCGAGAGACATAGTTTCCTTAGTTCCTCAGTTTATTTGAAATGGGTATTATTGTTGCGTCTCGGACCTTAACTTTGCAGTTTTTTGTCCGGCAGTTGATGTGTTTAATTGCTCAGTGTCTCACAGTGTCTCACAAAGTACGCGAATCCTGCCCCATGACTGTGGAATATATTTATTTTATGAAAAAACCCCAATTAAGACACATATACAAAAGCAAGTCTAGCCGGCTCTAGCTAGCTCTATTCCACATATGAAATCAGCATAGGGAAAATTTATTATTTTTAAATTTAGAGTCGAGAAGGTGATTTTGTGTAATATAACATTTCATAGACTAAATGTGAGTCTAACTGTTACCACTGCTTCTGTTAATGTACCCCAAGCAAGCAATAGACTTTAAGAAAAGATAGATTGTCATATTACGATGGATGATTTTAATTTTCAAACTAATTTATTCGTAACGGTGACAGGAAGGAAGGAAGGCTATTGAGGATGGCCAATATCTGATTGCTGAGATCACGGTGAAACAGTCCGTCTGTGCATTGTCTGACTATATTTACGTATGATCACTTACACCAGTAGGGTTAAAGTTCACGATGCACGGATGTTACGTGCTATTTATAGACCATTACAGATCTATGTAAGGCCACAACAAACGAATGACGCGTTTGTTAGACTGGTCTGTTAGTGCCACTGCGGTTTCAGGAACCTGTTTAAGTATTCATAGCTGCTTTGACAACACACTTTGATATATTTGCTTTTGTCGTGTTCCAAATAGGGATAACTGTCGTTAAAACACTCGATACAATTACAGTAACGAACTCAAATGGACAACTAAATTTAGTTTGTTATAACCGTAGTTCGTTATAAGCATATATACAGCATTTATACAACAAATGACCGGGACTAATAAAAAAGTTCGTTATATCGGTCAGTTCGTTATAAGCGTGTTCGTTATAAACGTAGTTTACTTTCACAATTTCAATTGTCTAGCTATCCACATGTAAATTGTTGCTGCTCGGATATTAGAGTGAATGTTGTTTTACATTTCAATCATCAATATCACGTACATTATCCACTATAGGACGGACAAACCAGTGGTTGACGACATGACCAACAGTCAATGTCGACAGGTAAGAGTGCGTTTGGTTTAGCGCCTTTTGAACTGTATTCCAGTTATATTACCGCGTGCCAGCTTGACGCAGAAGGAAAGCCTGGAGTGATTCAGGTCTCAGACGTTTACCATTTTGGTGAAACCCACGAGCACGGGTATGGTGCCATCTTCCTGAGGCAAGGGAGTTAACTGACTGTAACAGTCCAGTGGAAATATTCAGCTAACTCCCTTGTCTCGGGAAGATGGTATGGTACTTACAAACTCAGAAACATAATCGGGGCGAACCAGAATTCGGAACAACAATCTTTCCTTTTTTAGTTGAGTCCCGTCCGGGATTCGAACCCACACTGCCTCAGTGGGCTGAGTGGGTTAGATCGCTGACTTCGTGTGCTGGCGATTAGGTGCCTCACTCTGGAAGTGTGGGTTCGAATCCCGGACGGGACTCAACCCAAAAAAAGTACGAGAATCTGTACTAAGAAAGTGTAATCCCAAATGTAACATTTGTTGTATATAGTTTATGCTCATGTAGCACCGATGGTGGTTGTTTTTGAGAATACACCGAATCCGACTCTGATAATGGGTTAGGCTGATAGTGTCACAAAATGTCCTACACGAGAGATGACAAGATTAGTGCTGTTTGCTTGACTTTGACGGGCCATGTTGATAATTATGTTAGGGGGAGATATCACGTTTATACCGAAGCTGTTTTAGTTTCTTTTTAATGTTTGAACTAACTACTAATTTGTTTGTTTTTCAATTGTGTGTGTTCATGAGGTCACTGGCCCCTCTCCGCTGTTGAAACGTGTATGAGGATCAGTTTATACATAACTGGTTCTAGGACAGAATTTGTCTTCTGAGGGTTTTATTCATCTAATAAAACTTAGGACTAGCAGAATATGTTCGCTGGTGATGAGTTTCATAATATATTTGAAAGTGGTAATTTTGTAAATTGGCATTTATGTTATTTAAAGAAATACATGAATGTCAAACCTAATTATCATACGATGCAGCAAATGATTTGTATATACATGTATGAATAACGGCGACAAAATAATTTTCATAAGAAATCACCACTGAAACTGTTGACTGTATGGTTCCGACTGTATCATAAGCATCACCCGTCATAAAGACATGCAAGGGCAAGTCAATCGTTCACCTGGGAAAACATGGGGACATACGGTACAAGTAAAATATTTATAGTTCAGCTGGGTAAATCAGTGGAAGGGAATGGCTATTTGATCATCATTGACATTATCAGATCAACAAATATAGCAGATGTTTAAGCTACACTTCTCAGCCAAATTCCCTTGTATTGGTTTTGCCTATCCGAGCAGTAATTCCAATTCATATGCAGAGAGAAACAGATCGGCAAGAAGGGGAGAGCAATTGGAGCCCACGGAGATGCCTACTTC